TGTGAGTTTACCAAAGCTCAGTAGTATACAACACGCAAAACTTTCATTTTAGTTGTGTGTCATAGAAAATTGCAATTCAATGTTTGTTTACAGTATTGTGACGTCACAGTGCAATATAAAATGGCTGACACCGTTTTTAATACTAAGCATGTTGTAACTTGTCTAAAATAAGTCTCAAATTTGAAAATTACATATTTTTCGGTGTCTATTGTAATAAAAATACATATAAGTATTGTAACTTAAATAACTAGAAAAATATGTAGGTATCTACCTACCTACACCTTAAAATAAACAAAACAAACTAAAATTAAACTAACTTACAATCGCGGGTTATTCACGTGATAGTTTCGAGTTCATAGTTTCGAGCGAGTACAGCGGCGTAGTAGCAACGGCCTCACAGAAAACCGACGTGGAGCAACGCTTCAGTTGTGTTTCGTCGTGTGAGTGAGGTTACCGGAGGACCAAATCCCCCCCCCCTCACTCAATCTCCCCAATCCCCAACAATCCTCAAACTCCTAATCCCCAAAAGGCCGTAGCGTACTTGTAACGCCTAATAAAAAGAGCTTGTCTCAGTATTTTCACGTGAGTAACCCGCGATTTTTAGTTAATTTAAAATTAAAACAATAAAATAACAGTATTGTATAGATATTTGAGATTTATTGAATATTCATTAATACCTACATGTGTTTCAAAAAGCATAGTGCACAGTGTTATACATATTTTAATCAATCAATAAATGGTATTTAAGTAGAAAGAATTATTTTATTTTAGTGTTAATTCGTTATCATCATCAACACCCTATAAATGCCCACTGCTAACTAACTTCCATGTAAAAGTTTCGCATGCCCGAATTATGGGCAGAAGACGAGGGACTATAATTATAATGTCACACCTAGATCTAGACAGGTGCGGGACGCGTGAGGCAGCAAAGCGCTGCCTTCTCGCAACCCAGCCATCGCGAAGGACACACCGGGCGTCGGGGATCGCGGGACGATCTCCGGCCACCTTACGGTGGCCGGAGATCGTCCGTCGTGCGGGCCTGCGGACGAGCATGGGTGGCTCCTCGTCCGACCAGAAACGGACCCGAGCGTACGCGTACTCAAAGATCCATAAGACCACCACAGATGGGGCCCCGCCCAACAGGGCGGATGCCGATTCAGAGTCGCGGAGAACCTAACGGGTAACCGGGGCTCTGGCTCGACGTGCAGGAAAAGGAACGGGGTGGTTTTTAGTCAGTAAGAGTCTGACACTCCCTTCCGCCTCACCCAGGCGGGAGCAGTCATTCAATGATTTTCCCCCTTAAAAAAAAAATACCCGATTTGACGACGCAACGCCGTCACGACGGAATAATCAAAGACGGATAAACCCAGAGAGCGTCCTAGATAGGCACTCCTAATTAACCGCTCCTATTTTTTTTTGGTCGCTGAGTCTGACACTCCCTGATCAGTCTGAGCAGTAGATCGATGATTTTCCCCCTTAAAAAAAAAAGATCTAAACAGGTCCAACTCAAAAAACCACTTTTTTCAGAAAAGGCAATAAATAGATTACCGTACCACTATGCACTGCAGGAGTTTTCTGTATAGATATATGCTCTAAAAGTGTAGATGGAAGAAAGATGTTATTAGAATTTTGTGATTTAGTCATGTATTGTGACTGAAATAAAAGATTTCCCTGTTTTGGTGCGTGAGCAGCGGGGTCCGCTCGTTCAACAGTACGGACATCTGACGACACCTAGCGTCGAATAGTGGAAACTTTTTTAAATCTGTTTTGTTGGTTGGTAGATATTTAGTATCCCGTATCCTAGTAAAATAATCTATTTTTTTTATAATGTTACAGATTAATTCTCAACGGACTCTTGATCCGTGCCCTTGTCATACAATTCTTCGTGATTAGATTACAATACGTCTAATCTATTTTTATAAAGTAAAGAAGGTAAAGGTACCTAGTTACATACTACAATTAATCACATCTATAATTATTACTAAAGTATAAATTATTTCATAATTTGTAATAATATAATAATTCATAATTTATAATAGTCCTTTTTAATTCTAAACTCAATTCATAAATTTCTTTTTCTGTCAAAAAATAACTGACGCAACGATGATCTTGTCTTTACGTCAAATTGAGTGTAAACAAACGGTTATTGTAAAAATATTTATTTTAATGTGTAACTCACACATGACTAAAAATATCTAGATACGAACAGAATGCGAATGTAGGAAATTAATACTTTACTTGGTAAGTCTGCGATTACCTTAATTATTATATTATAATACGGTTTAAATTTTACACGATTCTTTCGCGCGGCTAGGCAAATGACTTGGTACATTTTTATTTTTGATCATTTGTAATTTAGTACCTATTTACTTACGTTTTATGCGCCGGTTTCACCACTTCCAAGTACCTGGTGACAGATAGTTCATACAAATTACGTTCTTAATTCGAATTTATCTTTTTTTTTAACAAATTTATTTATTGAAATTTTACATAGGTATTGCCTTAAATCTAAACTCGCCAAACTTTAACGTTTGATGGCGAGAGACGCTCATTTTTCAAAATATTTCTATTATTATCATAATAATAATATGATGGGAGTCTTTTTTTTTTCCTTAACATATAGGTAGGTACACTATAACCCAAGCAGGACATAGCAAGTATGTGTTATACAGTTATCTGGTACCTATATAGTGGCTATCCAGCAGATATTGTGAAACAGGCCCTAAGAGATGACAATATTTTAATACATACTACATAGGTACCTTAATTAAATTTCCAATAAAGTAATATGCTCTCGGAACGATATAATTATAATTTTTATAAAATACAATACCCTATAAATTCGTAAATTAATCAAATATTTAAAAAATGGCGCCATTGAGGCGATGTTGCAATCTTACAAAAATCGATGACATCAATTTGTTATTAAAAATTGAGATTGTAAACTTTGTTTCTAGATAAATATATAAATCGCAAAAATGCCCAGACTGCAAGTATCCTCTGGTAAGTGTTATGGACTAATTATAATTATGTATTTACTTCTCCTTAATTCATTAGGTATTTCGAAATATCCACGGATGCCCACACATTGAGGTACCTCACCATTATTTCTGAAATTATCGATTAAATGTAATAGTCATTTTTTTAATGAAGTTTTACGGTTTAACTTTGATGTGTCGGCTTCATTGCATAAAGCCTAAAAAATACTATCGTATAAATAGGAATTTATTTTTTTTCGGTAGTGTCTTGTTGATTAAAATTCAAATACGATGATTTTATCCACAGAAATAGATTATTAACCGTATGTTTGTTTTTTCAGTTATGGCGGTACTAACATATCCACAGTACTGTTGCAGCTTATATCCTAGTGCCGATAAGAAACAAGCGATTTATTTGCTGGGGTTTTTTATTTTAGTTGCTGGCTTGTTAATAATTACCATCCTAATGGCGATATCTATAAAAAGCGCAGATACCAAAGTTATTGAAAAATAAATAGTATAATGCATTTGTAATATTATTTTTCCTAAATGTTGTGTATGGTAACTTATTGTACAATAAATGCTTGAATTGAAGACGAGTTTTTGTTAGCTTAATTTTATTTTAAACCATTTGCTTTGAAACACTTTAATTTTGTGCACTAGATGGTATTTGTGTAAAAATTAAGAATCATCATGTCATGACATTTTCAACTAGGCAATACCTTGACCACCTTCTTTTAAATGGGTATATCTGATTTCTTTTTTTGACAACGACCTGTATACCTATATAATAATATTGCATCTATATCAATTCTGTACTCAAATTCCATTTGATTTTAATTTGTCCATAGATTGTGCAGTGTTTTTTTCCGGTTCAGACTGCATGGAGAAACCAAAAGATAACCGAGCGTTAAGTAAAAAAAATTTTAGCTTAAAACGCCTTGTCACAAGAGAGGACTTAATTAGCAAGAAGTCGCGCTTTATGTGGGGTGTAGCCATTATATTGATTTGTTTAGTATTGATGTTTATCTCTACATCAATCTACGGACATTTAAAGCTTTAAACATGAATAAAAAGTTATGGCTGTTGTGTAGGTTGTTTTATTTATTTTTTTAATCTAATCGCTTTTATTTTGTGAAGTTTTGAGATCGTATGATTTAAAAAGTACTTTTGTTGGTATGATTGATGATTTGATTGAAACAAATTTTCTCGATTCTGATTGTGTATTGTTCTACAAAAGTCAAGCTCACGAATGGTTTTTATTGTAGAATTGAGAGTTATATACATCACTGGGAGGTGTTTAACCAATCAGATAGATCATTGTATTTATTGTAACGAAATCAAATCAATGCGATGTTAATTTGTCTACAGATTGGGCATTAGCTGCGTTTTTGTGGTTGATACTGCATGGAGAAACCTCGTAAAGTTGAAGGACCACTATATCGAGATGGCATCAGAATCAGAGGCCCCCTTGCGGGCGAGAATACATGTCTTGGGACCCCACACTTTATTATGATAATAGCCTTTATATTCCTTTGTTTGTTTATAATATCGTCTGTTGTAATGATATGGAAGCTTGTAACAACTTACACCAACTATGAATGAATAAGAAGTGTAATATGTGACTGTCATTCACATGTTTTATTTTTTATGGAAACGTTTAGGTTTTGGCGTTAATGAAATTGAATAATAGATACTCCTGTATGTACGATGTATAATAATAGTATAAGCGAGGAGATATAATGAAAATAGTTTAAGAGAGAGGTATGAAGGAATCGGAGTAATCTGCGTTCCATAGTCTCTGCCTACCTCCATGGGAGACAGTTGTGAAGTCATGTATGTATGAACATACGTATACTCCTTAGTCTCTTTAATAATAAAATATATAAATCGAAATGCATAACCAGTTACCATCAATGTTCGATTGATTTTAGTTTACTTCAAGTCTGTTTTCACCTTTAATTAAATAAAGTGGCAATACTGGCAATATTACCACTTCGAAGCGAAGTATTGTGGCAACTCTGTTGTAAATAAAATTTTCATTTCCATGGCGGACGAAAGCGGAAAGCGTGTACGGTAGACTAGCCGTATATTTGTGTAGAAATAACTCTGAAAATAATTTAAATAGTTATTGATTATTGTTTATGTATCTTTTTCAAGATATGAACTAGGTTTAAGAGTGTGTAATGTGTGTATTGAAGTGTTAGAAGTGGACTTTAAAGGTTTGGCAAAATGACGCAGTTTTTGCCACCTAATTTGTTGGCTTTATTTGCCGCAAGGGATCCGATTCCTTATTTGCCACCAGCAGCGAAGCTACCACACGAGAAGAAACAAAAGGGCTACGATGGAGTTGGAGCATTCCTCGACGTTTTTGAGGTTAGTTTACCAAAAATAATTCGTACAAAATTTTGTGACTACCAAATCGAACATAGATATAATCACCATGTGTGAATTTCGCCGTAAATTAATTCATAATTAATGTTAGGTTGTTAGTTTTAAGTGATGCGATAGCAAGGTTTATTCTGCGTGGTATTTTTGTTTCATTAAAAAAACATTTTGATCATAATGTATTTGACTAACTGTTACGTGCGGCTTCGCCCGGTATGCATGAAAACAAAGCAGTCAATACCATTTAAAATTACCATAAAATCGCCACGTATAGCGAGAAAGAAAACAAACATACAAGAATTCACCTTTATAACTTGGCACGTTAATATCATGGTCCGACGTTGGCATAGGATTCGCCTATAACAACCATCTAAAGGCAATCATAATAAAGGAATGAAATTCTTCCAATAAAACAATAGTTAATATTCATATATCTATTGCATCCATAATGTATAATAGGTGGTAAGAACTTAATTTTCTAACACATCAATAGCCACTGCTGATCAAAATCAAATTTTTTCTTCTTCTCCTCTTATAATATCTTCTGATTCACTTCGTTGCGGGAACTAAGACAGTTACTCATGTCCCTGGGACGCGCCGGACTTCAGTGTTCTGGTGTTTTCATGGTTGTATCTACTGTAGATCCTGGCTTACAGGAGTTGCAGCGGTTTTGGGAGGTTGTGGCGGGCTTGTCCCAATAAAAAAAGACACTGCTGATCAATGACCTTTTCTCACACGGAGAAGGTTTGAGCATCAATCGGTACACTTGCTCAATGTGATTCGAAACTTTCTAACTTATCAGAAATTATAAGCTCAGATTTCTTCACAATGTTTTCCTTCACCGTTTGTCAGTAGAGTCTTAATAATCTTAATGTATGTCTTACCTCGTAAACACCACACTTGCTTAATGCGGGTTGGAGGTTTTTAACTTATAATCACTAAATAGTACAAAACAAAGTCGCTATCCGCCGTCTGTCTGTCCCTATGTATGCTTAGATCTTTAAAACAACGCAACGGATTTTTAATAGATAGAGCGGTTCTTTAGGAAAGTTTATATGTTTAATACTTGCATATAGCACCCGTGTGAAGCCGGGGCGGGTCCCCAGTTAGAAATATAAGCCTAAGTCACACTGGTATTTGCTAGGTTTTAAAAATGCACCCTCATGCATGAAAAGCAGGCAGCATAAATCAGGTGGAAATATCATGCATAATCAATCTCCAACACCACCTAAAATACTGAAGGTTGACTATTGACAATCCACAACATATAATCACACCTTTTATACCCAAAGGGGTAGGCTGAGGTGCACATTTACGGCACTTAATGCCGCTGTCCAATGTAACACCCAGTTTTTACTATTTATGTTATGAGTCCCATGTAATAGGGGGTGAGTCTATTGCCATATACCGGGCACAATTCCCGACTCCGTGCTACTACTGAGATTGACAATTTCTTAGGCATTATATTTGCCTTAGTACAATGCTAAAGGCATAGTAAATAAGTGGTTTAATGGTAGATTGTTTGAAGTTAAAGTTTATAGTTGAATTGTGTGTTGAACTTGACTTAAAGACAGACCATCTTCTAGTAAAGAGGTTAAATACCACAAATGATGAAGTACTATTGAACAATGACCATCATTAAGCCTAGAGGTTCTCCAGTGAATATGCCTGTGGTATTTAATCCGCAAGGTAGACAGATGACCTAGGAGCCCCTGGGAGAAGGTTGCTCCCAACCGGCCTATCTGGAAGTCATTGGGGAAGGCCTATGTTCAGCAGTGGACGTTCTATGGCTAATATGATGATGAATGTGAACTGATAAATCCCAATCGGTAACCGACGACTGCTCTTCACTAACTCCTTTATAGACCTTATTTCTGATGTTTAGAGACTGCTTTTGTTTGAACAAATTTTGGGGATGTATAATAATATAAAGTGATTAAGTTAAATTACCGAAAAAGTTAACACCATAACTAATCTAATACTATTAATGAAACATCATTAATATCATCCCTAATGACTTCTCTTCTTCGTCGTCTGTCAGTCTGTCCGTCAGTGAAGCTAGGCGCTCGTTCCAAAATGTCGATTCGAGTGGAGAAGAACGAGCAAGAAACTCCATTCTTTACTCTTTTAAAAAAGTCTGTTTTACATTGCTCTGATACATATTCCAATATTGTACACACATGTGAGAATAATGTAAAGACATACCTGAAGCAACATACAAATAACAGAACATACTAAAATAGAAAAAAAAAAAACAAAACCAAGAGAAAACAAATATCTTAAGTCTGACATGGTCCTCACATATGTATACTGACAATCCATATAAAATAGTGCTTCTATACAAGAAAAAAATAAAAAATATACTCTTGTTTAAATAAAGAAAGAAATGCTCGATGCCACAAGAAAAATAGATTGCCTTCATCGGAATCAAAGTGTTAAATTACCTATTATCGTAATCTGAACTAGGTACTGACTACATTTGAGTATTGTCCAGTGGAGCCGAACCAACACGCTGCCAAGCATTCCTATCCTCAAGATAATCAATCACCCTGTAGTACGCTTGTTTACATAATTCGCGCTTAATATATGTTTTAAATTTACTTTCATTTAGATCTAGTATGCTATTTGGTATTTTATTATAGCATTTAATACCTAACCCCATAAAGGATTTCTGTACCTTGGACAGTCTGAATTGCAGTACAGCTAACTTATTCTTGCCTCTAGTATTAAGATTGTGTCTATCGCTTCTTTTTTCGAACAATTGCCTATTCTTTCGTTACATACATTATATTTTCATATATGTATTGACAGGGCACCGTTAAGATGTTTATCGTTTTAAACGACCTTCAAACCTTCAAATTAAGAGCATATTTCTTTTCGAAAGGCCGGCATCGCACCTGTGGTTCTTCTGATGTTGCTGGTGTCTATGGGCGGCGCTGATCCTTTAACCATCACGTGATCCGTCTGCTGATTTCCCTGAATATCAGGCATAAGATAAACAATAAATTTCATGGAATAAGAAAAAATACCATAAGTAATACCTTATGGTATTTTTAAATAAATATAAGTACCTACCATTATCATTACTTAATTACTTACGAAACATTCTCTCCCAAACATAGGTCTCCTCTAATGACTTCCAATTAGGCTGGTCAGTTTCGATCAGATGTATGAATGAATGTCAAATAAATAATTCATTTTATAAGAAATCTAAATTCAACTAAATTGTAATTATAATGCATGTATACCATGAGGCATGTTTTGTTTTTATATTCGATGGGTCGACGTTTGACCACTATCTCGCCTGGTGGTAAGCGATGATGTGGTCTACGATGGAGCATGTCGTCCCATAAGCAACCTATTCACTCAGGCCTTGAAGGCATGCAGGTTATACCCTTCAGGAAATACAGACTCTGGCAAAGAATTCCACTCTTTAGTAATACGCACAAGGAAGATATTCTGAATTAAGTGTGATGATTAGTGCTCAAACCTTCTCCGTGCGAGTAGAGGCCTGTGGTCAGCAGTGGGTACTTACAGGCTGTTAATTATGATGATTCTGTGGGGGTTCTATGTAGATGTCGAGGTGGATAAATGATGCGCTTCATTTTATTTGGAGATATATAATTCTGGTACAAGTTACATGATATATACTTAAAAATGACGACCTACTAGTTCGGTTGCGGGGAGACGACTGCCGTGCGACGCCAGCGCACGTACGCGCTTGGGAACACAAAAGTACAGCGTCAACAGTGTGTCCCTACAATTCTTAGATGATGATAATTAATAGAAGTGCTTATAAGCTTCCTCATACAACGATGTGGTGATCCAGAGGTTTAAGATGAGCGTGTTGTCCTGCACGAGGGTGCGGCTCGAAATCTATCACTACACCGATCCTTTCATCCGTTTTGACCTCAATCACAATCTGACAAACATTCACATTTATGTCATATTAGCCCGCGACGTCGTCCGCGTCGAATAGTAATACACAGCTCCTCCCCCGTAGTTGATAGCATGATAATATGTGGCCTATATGTTGACCCGACCTGTCAGTAATATTCATGTAAAATTTGAAGTAAATCCATGCAGCACTTTTTGAGTTCATCCCGGACATACAGAGGAAAAAATCTAAAAACCATATTTTTGGTTTCGCTATGGACTGTAGACCACGCCCAAAGAATTCTTTTAAAAAAATATCCGATGTACAGGTTTCCTACGATTTTATTATATGTATAGGTTAGTAAGATTTAATATGTAAAGCTGAAGCGTTTGTTTGATGGTTTGATCGTTCTAATCGCAGGAACAACTGGTCCAATTTGAAAATATATAAGTAGTTGCGTTGTATAGTTCATTTATCGAGGAAGGCTGTAGGCTATAAAACATCGCGCTACGATCGATAGGAGCCCAGCAAAGCGGTTGAAACCGGGCAAAAGTAGCTAGCCATATATATTTTGTTTTTAATCAAAAACATAATAGGGATGATGACAGGGTATGAAAATTAAAAATTTCATTAGTCCGTCAGTTAGGTAATGAAAAAATATTAGACGCGTATTTTTATTATTTTGTCCTATAATAAAATGATACTTAGATATAACGCATCAAAGTTTATGAGTGGGGGCTAAAACGTATTTTTCTACGTATAATATGTACATAGAAGTGACGTTACGCGACATTTCAAATCAATATATTGTCGAAACTATACGTTTCCGTAAAAAAAAAATACGTCTAATGTTTTTAAATAATCTACCAGACGGACATTGAAATAAAAATTAATCATCTACCATTCTAAGTCAAAGTCAAAGTCAAAATCATTTATTTCAATTAGACCAGGATGGCACTTTTGAACGTCAAACAACAAAAATTTATAAGTGAAGCTAGTTGCTCATTCCAAGGCGTAGATTCCTATGGAGAAGAACGAGCAAGAAACTCCATAGGTTACTCTTTTTCAATCAGGTTTACAATACAATTCTCTAGTTACATAGTTTTATTGGTTCGATTATGTGAGAACAATGCAACACCTAAATCCAGTCAGAAAGACTGACCCTACCCTATTTAATATATCATTTTCACATCCACAGCATCCCTCTGAAACCCCGCCACCGACGCGCGTGGAGACGAGGGAAGAGCGCATGGAACGCAGGCGTCGTGAGCGAGCGGAGCAGACAGCATACAAGTTGGAACAGGAGATAGCGCTGTGGGACCCCAGCACTAACCCTAAGGCCACTATGGATCCGTTCAAGACTTTGTTCGTGGCTAGGATTGTAAGTATTGCCTTCTATATTACAAACAATTAAGAATATCTAAGATATCCGGGATATACCACGGCCTCACAGAAAACCGACGTGAAGCAACGCTTGCGTTGTGTTTCGTCGTGTGAGTGAGGTTACCGGAGGCCCAATTACCCTCCCCTTCCCCAATCTCCCCAATCCCTGAATCACCAACGATCCTCAAACTCCTAATCCCCGAAAGGCCGGTAACGCACTTGTAACGCCTCTGGTTTTCTAGGTGTCCATGGGCGACGCCGATTGCTTACCATCAGGTGATCCGTCTGCTCGTTTACCGACTTAAGCCATAAAAAAATATATATATACAGATGGTCTGTAACAGACCAGGGAAACTCTTGAAACCAATCTCAAAGTCAACGCAATTGCAATCCAATGAAAACTCAATAATTATTCAATGTCAAAACTATATACAACCCCTATTGTAGCTATTAAAATAGCATTCAGAGTACGGATATAAAGCCAAACTCAATACCATTTAAATACCCACGCATTACGGATGCAATGGCCGGTACTGTTGCAACTGTACTTGTTTCACTTGTTTCAAGAGTACGAAATTTCACAATACTAATGTCGATCGATCGGAATTGGATTCAAGAGTATGCTCACTGGAATTTTTCAATCACTATGCATAAATTAAATCCATTGCAATGTTGCATTGTTTTAACCAAAGAATTAACTTTAATGAATCCACACATAATCGGTGGAGGTAAGTTGAGCAATCCTTCGCCCAGCTACTGCGCTAGTCATGCAGTTGATTTCTACATAATACTTTGATATCAGTAGGCCGTTTCTGGTCATAGCTGAACTTAGTCCTCTCCAATATTCCGCTACTGAGCACACAGCGGATATTGTCACTGCCTAGCTACCTCTTACACTGCACTTTCTAATTAATTGTAATCATTTTGTTCACAGAATTACGACACATCAGAGTCTAAACTAAGAAGAGAGTTCGAGGGATACGGTGCAATTAAAAAAGTAAGTCTGTCCGGTGTTACTATATTCAATATTCATTGCTTTATTGCTTTCTACATGTATTACTTAGATGGTGAACATAATTAGGACACAATGTGGGCCCTGTTGGGCACAGCAATAATAGATTAGCAGGGAACACAGCGTAAATGTTATTTGAAGAAAAAAAAGTATAAGATATCTACAATAAAATCAAAAACTATCATAATAAATAACCCATGATAGTCTACTGCTGCACTATGAGTCTCCTCTACATAAGAGGGTTTGTCATAATCTCCGCAGGCAGGCGGGTTGGAGGTCGCAGTATACAAGGTTCAGGATTATCAGAGAGTGCTGCCTTGGTCGGCTCTGAAGCTTTTTTGCAATTTAATTACCCAATAGTATGATATTATTGTCAGTAATACTTGAAGATCTCAACAAGATAAGACTGCTAGTTGGTCTAGGGTTCGATTCCCGGATCTGGTCAATGATTACAAATAGGCTTACTTAGTTAGATGTTTGCATTTTGTTTTGGATATTAACAAATGCAAGTTTATCTTACTTGAACGTCTCACGAGTGGCGCTCAAAACTAACTCCATCTCTTTCTCTCCCTTCAGATTTGCATGATATTCAACAAGGACAACAATAAGCCCCGCGGTTACGCCTTCATCGAGTACGAACACGAGCGCGACATGCATTGTAAGTGTTACAAACTGTATTGGGACGTCACAGACATGTATCGTGTCGTGCGGTGATGTTCGCGGTCTCTGATTGGTTGGGTAAACGACAAATTTTGATAGGGGTATCGGTGAAAGTAAGTGGAGTAAGATTGTAAAGTATTTCTGTAGGGTAAAAGTCAAAGTATAATGGTAGGTAGTGGGGTAATGGTAGTTATGAAGGGTAACTGCTTGCTTCAGCACGAATTGGCCGGCTCGACTGGAGTGGTACCACGGCCTCACAAAAAGCAAACGTGCAACGCACTTGTAACGCCTCTGGTGTTTTGAGTGTCCATGGCCGGCTCCGATTTATCCCATAAATGAGTGGTAGGGGTAAAAATGCGTGGGGTAACGGTCAAAGCATGAAAAGTAAGTTGTAAAGTATTGTACAAATGGAAGGTAAGTGTGGAATATATGAAGGGTAATAGTAAAAATATTAATCGGGAATGTAGTGCTTTGTGTAAGTAATTTTGGGGGTAAGATTGTGTCCATTGTTAAATTCAAATATTTTCGTATTACGAATGTCGTAACTAAAAATTTATCATATTTATAAAATATCAGAACCACGCCACATCACCGCACGCCGAACCCGTCTGTCTATATGTAAATTTATTATATTTTTTTATATTGCATCACCATTATAACTAACTGTGTCTACTATATATGATTATACAATATATAAATTATATATCAGTAGTTATAATGGTGGTCTCTACGCCCTATATTTCGGTAAAAGCGCGCCACTTGACGCGATTTCGGAGGAGAGTGGTTTCTTTATATGTAGAAATTCTATTTTTATTATCATAATATATAATTTACTTTTACAGAATTGTATCGCACAGGATTACCTTATCTTTTTTTTCGGTTTTATATATAAAATCTTTACAAACTTATTCTCTACTCTCTACTAGTTTCAAACCACAGAGGGGTTCTTCCTCATGAGCAGCGTGCGCGGTCGCGGCGGCGACGTCGAGATTTTAGTTAATTTAGTATGTCTCACGATCGTCGTCCCATAAGCAACCTGCTGTGCTCCATCGTAGACCGCATCGATTACCATTAGGCGAGATAGTGGTCAAACGTCGGCCCATGAAAAACATAAAAAAATAAAAAAATGTCGTATATACGTTAGTTCACAGTCAGTTCAAACGAGTATTTATTACAACAAATAGGTTAGAAAATTAAATTTTATATAAAGATATATGAGGCTGGTCGTTATTTCGTTCAGCGACGCGAAAGTGCCGTCTCCTCCGATATCGCGTCGAGTGCATCGCGTCCACATCGCGGTTTACATACATTGTGTTGTACATGATTAACAAGTAATTTTTCTTTCCGTACCAGACATGCGGTAGTCCTTCATTCGAGCTATCTACTATAGGTTTGTATGTGGTAAGATACCAACATACATACAAAAATATATAGGCAATTATCACCCTTGGGTCAGAAAGGTGATGGGCGAAAATTCCCCGACAGCCCAATCGTAGTTATCGATGTTTTATTAGTTATAATAATTAAAAAAATGACGTAGTTAAACTTATAATTTTAATGCAATTATAAGTGTTTAGTTTATATATATATTATATATATATGATATATCATTTTATAATATATTATAATATTGCGCACGGATAAGTAAGGACGCGCTCCAGGTGAGGTAAAAAGCCGTAATGGATTATAAACATGGGGGTTTTTCGTAAGTAAAAGAAACACGTGGTATATTATTCAAAACGGTAGGTATTTAATGGTGGGTATGTTATATTTTTTTTTAATAATATTATAGAGTTTTTGTCTATTAATTAATTTAATTATAAAAAAGGACTACATGATCGGTAGGTATGGTGTAGGTATGGAAAAAATACTTATTTAACACTCATTTTGATCCGACCTCTTTCCGAAAGTCGGTCAAAGTGATATTTGGATTTGTACAACTGGACTCGTCTGAACGGTTTTCATAATCACAGGTACATTCTACAGGAACAGAATACCATGTCTGAAAAATAGTAATTTATATAAACATTTATAAAATTATATTTCTTTTACACAAGTGTGAAGAATTGCTATTTTTTGGACAAAAATCGTTGTTTTTTTATGTTGAAAAAATTGGTTTTTATGGACATACGTCACCCCGCGTGAAAATAGGTAATATATTGTTACATATATAATAAAATATATATTATTATATAATATACATACAGTCCACATCTACTAATCGTTTTTTTTCTAACATGCATTGCCAAAATATACAAATTTTTGACAAATAAATATAGAAATGTCTGTGATACTATTAGCTTCACAAAATGTACATTTATTTTGGAGAACGAATAAGAAATTCTGTGACTAAAGTTATAGGAATCTATATTATAATTAACACACTCCAAGAAGGAGGTCCTCAATTTGACCTGTATGTATATGTGTGTTTATGCGCGAATATCTCGTGATTGGCTGAACCGATTTAGATGCGGTTTTAAATATATAAATTAACCGATTTAAAAAATTGAGAAGGTTTTTTTAAACTAACTATATTCAATTTTTTTAATTGCAATAAACTCACCCCTTATTACATGGGACTCGTAACATAAATAGTGAAAAGTGGGTGTTACATTGTACAGTGGCATTAAGTGCCGTAATGTGCACATTTGCCTATCCCTTCGGGGATGTTAAGTATGTATGTATATTTCATTTTTTTTTAATTTGTAACAACGTTGCGTCCTTAACTTGTTGTGGCCGTGTTGGTTTTTAAACATAGTTGAGTTCACATACACATGACACCCAGACTCGGAACAACAATTTGTGGACCACACATAGTGTTGCTTCGTACGGGAATCTAACCGGCGACAGAGACTGTGCTAATAGTGCAGTAAAGATGCATTAAACTGTCAAACACCAAGCGGTCACCGGTGACCGCAACCTATTGTTCTATAATTGTGTCTATAATGACGGTACTCGACGAGTTAAAATAAAATGGAGCATTTGGCAATGCGTGGTAGAATTATCTACAGAAATAATGACAAGTACATACGGTTTGATAAGTTCATTGGTATTGACACTGTTCCTACATATTTATAGATTTCTTTTCTAATCCGTGCGTCGTTTGCTGACCTCTCAAAATAGGTTTTTCTACCCAATTTCAAGGTATTTAGTGTCCACCTTATACGCCATTCTTATTCTTTCCTCTCCTAAACTTTGTCTAAGTAGGTATTGTAAACTTTATACGAGAATAAAAATTCGTGTCTAATATTTTTTCATCATCTAACTGACGGACTAATTAGATTTTTAATTTTCATACCCTCGCGACCTACGAGACAACCAATAAATAAAAAAATCTCATTCACTAATCACTACATAGTATAAAACAAAGTCGCTATCCGCCGTCTGTCTGTCCCTATGTAAGCTTAGATCTTTAGAACTACGCAACGGATTTTGATGCGGTTTTTTTTAATAGATAGAGCGATTCTTAAGGAAGGTTTATATGTATAATACATGCATATTGCACCCGTGCGGAGCCGGGGCGGGTCGCTAGTTTCTATTTTCTTATAAGGAAGGGTGTCACTACCTATAAACACACCGCATGTATGTTGTCTCCGAATGGCCGATATTACATCGTGTCCTTATGTTCCAGCCGCGTACAAACACGCCGACGGCAAGAAGATTGATGGTAAGCGAGTGTTGGTCGACGTGGAACGAGCTCGCACTGTAAAGGGATGGTTGCCGAGGCGGTTGGGTGAGTACTGACATCATTTGTTCTTTACCGACTTCCTAAAATCAAGGGGTTCGCAGTTTGACCAGAGGGCTAACTCTTGAATCCAATTCCGATCGATCGACATTGGTATTGTGAAATTTTGTACTCTCGAGTTGCAACACTAGCGCCCATTGCATCCGTATTGCGTGGATATTGAATGAACTAAATGGTATTGAGTTTGTCTTTATATTCCGTACTCTGAATGCTATTGTAACAGCTACGATTGTGGTTGTACATTGAATAATTATTGAGATTATATTAGATTGAAATTGCATTGACATTGAGGATTGGTTGCAAGAGTAAGCACCCTGTATTATACTGTCAAACACCAAGCGGTCACCGGTGACCGCAACCTATTGTTCTATAATTGTGTCTACAAAACCGGTACTCGACGAGTTAAGTGTGGGAGACCCATGATTTGGCACGAATGAGCCGGCTCGACCGGAGTGATACCACCAACAAGCAGAAAACTGTCGTGAAACAACGTTTGCGTTGTGTTTCGTCGTTTGAGTGCTATTACCGGATTAATTATTATGTTTTCGGCTTACTCACGTAATTATTTGACGAGGAACTCGACTAGTTTCAAGCCATGCTAGAGGCTCATATTCATAAGCAGCATTTCGCGACCCGCGACGCGGCGACCGTCGCGCTGCTACTGATGTTACCGGAGGTCCAATTACCAGGAAAAGGGAAAATTTTACGTCTCGTGAGTTCATTTCGGGGACAATGGGACTCGTCATTATAAAATACGACAGTCCCGTTCTAAATGTATGTGTGTGATTGTGAAGTGGAATCTTGTGAATGTTGAAGCAGATATCGTCAACCGATTGAGCTGAAACTTTGTGTACACGTTTTGTTTGCATGACCATAAATGCTGTTCAATCAGCTTGCCGTGACATTAGACCGAAGTGTCTCGTTCTAATCCTTACTTCCTTACTAATATTATAAATGGGAAAGTGAGTTTGTTTGTTCCGCTTTCACGCCGTAACTACTAAACCGATTGCTTTGAATTTTTGCAGACGTAAAGTTAGAAGTCTGGATTAAATAATAGGGTATTTTTTATCCCAGATAATTGATATTCCCGAGGGAAAACAAAAGTATTGGTATAGATGGCGCTGTGCGTATTGGTATATGTCACATAGGCTACTTTTTATCCTTTTGTGACGCTGCCATCGCAGCGGTAAGTCCCCTCTTTGAGGAGTGACTTGAGAGACGCTACGGCGTCCTCACCTACCGCCTGACGCAAGTCCTCACCGGACATAGGAGTTTCGGGAGGTACCTGTGTCTGATGGGGCGGGAGGAAACGTCTGGGTGTCATCACTGCGAGGACCGCCCTGAGGACATGGTGGAACACACTGTAGCGGAATGCCCTACGTGGGCTGAGCACCGCCGTGCCCTCAGGGAAGTGATCGGCGATGGCGACCTCTCGCGTCCGGGCCTAGTGCAGGCCATGATGCGGAGCGAGGGGGACTGGGATGCCGTCTCCTCCTTTTGCGAAGCAGTCATGCTAGCTAAGGAGGAGGCGGGACGCGTGAGGCAGCGAAGCGCTGCCTCCTCGCAACCCAGCCATCGCGAAGGACACACCGGGCGTCGGGGATCGCGGGACGATCTCCGGCCACCGTAAGCGCGGGCCTGCGGACGGCGAGCATGGGTGGCTCCCCGTCCGACCAGAAACAGACCCGAGCGTACGGCGCGTCGCGTTCCGCGCGCGCCTCAAAGAGCCATCAGACCACCACAGATGGGGCCCAATAGGGCCGATGCCGATTCGGAGTCGCGGAGAACCTAACGGGTAACCGGGGCTCCGGCTCGACGTGCAGGAGAAGGAACGGGGTGGTTTTTAGTTAGTAAGAGTCTGACACTCCCTCCCGCCTCACCCAGGCGGGCGCAGTCATACGATGATTTTCCCCCCTTAAAAAAAAGTGTAATAATATTTTTCATCGATAAATATATTATTATGATTCTGTCGATTATAGCGTAGCGTAAGATTATTTAGACACCACTGACAAACAGTGAAGGAAAACATCGTGAGGAAACCTGGGCTTATATATATTTTTTCTACATTATAAGTTTGAAATCACCAACCCGCATTGAGCAAGCGTGGTGGTTAATGCTCAAACCTTCTCCATGTGAGTAGAGGCCTTTGCTCAGCAGTGGGCAGTTATAGGCTGTTGGTGTATGTATACATATATATATGATCGTAGCGTGATAATGAACAAAAAAAAAATGGTTGCCTGTAAAGTCGTTTTTACGGGCGAAGATTTTACGTGACAACGTCTTTTTCTCGGTAGAATATTTATTGATATGAATATAATTAAATTGCACAATAGGAACAAGGAATTGAATGAACTAGTGCTGCGCGCGCGGCAGACCGATCATAGTTGAGTGGGAGAGAGACGCAAGGCATTCGGCGGGCCTCTCTCTCGTTCGGTGACTCATCGTAACGTTACCGAGCGTTACACTTTTTCATAAGTGACTCCCAGCCGCAACCTAATTTAAGACGTTGTCACGTCAAAAATATTTGTTCAAATTCGAATCAGCATTTCCAGAGATGTTGACGTTCAAAGAAAATAAAATAAACATTCTTCAGCTTTATAATAAAAACATACGTACATACACACCCGTCAAACTGTGAATCTCCTTTCTTTTGAAGTCGGTTAAAAACAGTAGCATACTTTTGAAAAAACATAAAAATAGAGGAGAACTGTATATTTAATGTATATGATTTATATTTCCAGGCGGCGGACTCGGCGGCACTCGTCGTGGCGGCGCCGACGTCAACATAAAGCACTCCGGCAGGGAGGACAACGAGAGGGAACGGGAGAGGTACAGGCTCGAACAGAGGGACAGGGACGACAGGCCCAGGCATGATAGACCTGGTATGTATACTTCAAATATAACAACATATTGTCAGACAAGTCATTCAGTATGCAGGCAAGAGATCAAAGATTGGTTCAGTACAGAGACAGTGGCCATTGGTTGTCTAGAGCCGACCGAGTTACAGAAGACATGGCTTCGTTACAAAGCATATATTTGGTTTATGTGGTCAATTACCCCCTTTTCTCCAGGCTCCCTAATCCCAGAACCCCCACCATCCTCAAATTCCCAATTGAGATGATGACAGGGTATGAAAATTAAAAATATAATTAGTCCGTAAGTTAGGTAATTAAAAAATATTAGACACGTATTTTTTTATTTGATCGTATAATATAACAATACTTCGATAAAACGAGTCAAAGTTTAGGAGTGGGGGCTAAAACGTCATTTCTATGTATAGAATGTACATAGAAGTGACGTCACACGACATTTCAAATCAATATATCGTCGATAGTATTCGTTTCTGTCAGAAAATAAAAAATACGTGTCTAATGATTTAAAATAATCTATCAGACGGACATTAAAATAAAAATTAGGCATCTACCCTATTGTCCCACAATTACCTCCATTACGGATATGAAACCAAAGAGCTTGATGAGTAGAAGTGGTTTGTTGATGTCATGTTGTGATCCCAGCAGGCAGTCGCCGCCGGTCGCGGTCGCGGTCGCGGCGTCGCTCGGCGTCGCGCTCGCGGCGCCGCGACAGGGAGCGCGAGCGGGACAGGGACGCGCGCGACAGGGAACCCGACGAGGCTGAGCGGTCAGTATACTTACATTTATTTATATTTTTATACTATGTAGCTTTTGCCCGCGACTTCGTTCGCGTGGAATAGTGATTTCCTGCAGATTTTTGCTTTTACCCACATAGTTTACCGATCTCGCGGGATTTTTGAGAAGTTCCCGATTCCGCGGGATTTTCGGTATAAAAACTATCCATGTCTTCTCGAATTCTAAACTATGTCTGTACCAAATAACAGTGACCCCATTTGTATGGAGCGTGGTAACTTTTAATTTTTTCGCGGTAAGTAGTTGATAGGATGTGAAAAACTGATGCAGAATATCATTACAAACGAAAAAATATAATATGGGGTCTTATATCAAAAACTCAGTCCAAGCAGAGTTAAATCTGTTCAAAGATGTGAATAGTGCAATATTATTCCTGTTATTTTGTTGATGGTGACCGTACATAACGCATTTTTTATTTTGTTTATTTTTTTTTGTTATAACGCCACGGAATCGGAACAGAGTGAACCCTTAACTGACCACTGCTGAAGAAAAACATTTCGCTTGATTGGCTAGCGTGCTCACTTTATATGTATACGGTTTATGGCCTATGATAGATTTTCATGAGCAATTTCCTCTCAGTCGAAAACCCGCTGAAGTTCGGAATTGTGACAAAAATATGAAGTAAAATGTTTGACTCCAGCTCCTTTCAACGCTCATAACTCAGTCCAGACTGAGATTTCCATATATGAGCCCATAGACAATTTCGTTTGTAATGTCATTCTAGATAATATTTTCCATAAATCACGGGAAAGAAAAGGCACCAATTTTAATCAATGCCCCTTCACACAAATCGGTTCAGTTATTTAGGCGTGAAGAAAAGACAGGCAGGCAGGCCAAGCAACTTGCGCATTTATAATATTAGTTTCAGTCGCAAGTGCGAATGTCGGGCAAAGGGTTCGATTCCTAATATCGCGCTTTTGCCTACTAAGTTTACACGATGCTATTGTAATAGTGTTTTATTTGGAGTATAAATAAATAACTGAGCAATGACATATACAGCAACAACGGTCGCCGGCGCCGGTCCCGCTCGCGCTCGGAGCGCCGCCGCGAGCGCCGCGACCGCGACAAGGACCGCGAGCGCGACCGCGACAAGAAACGCTCCCGGCGGGACAAGGAACGGAAGGA